AATCGCCTAGAACAAACTTTACTTTTTTACAAAAAATAGACTATCAGTACTTATAAATGGGTTGACCTCGCTGTCACAACTTAATCTTGTTGTCAGGGCGACTTAGTAGAAAACGTCCAGTACGAAGTCATCTGCCATAGTAGTTGCCATGATTTCCAGCATCAGACAGTCGACTTGGTGCATACTCAAACGTTTCGCCGGCATCGTAGTCGTAGTCATCAATGAGTTTTGCCATTCTCCGCACCAAGCTACGGACTCGTCAAAGAGACAAGTGAAGTCAAGCCCTGACAACGAGGTCAACCCACTTCTATAAATCTAAAGGAGACTGCGACCATAGCAGAGGCTACAACATCTTGGTTTTCATATCAGTACTTAATTCACATTTTACGACCAAGGATTTCACTGAATTCCTTCTAAAGCAAAATATTAGAATTAACCTAAAGAAATAATCAAATGGTATACTTTTTCATTTACAACCTTACTTCTGCCCTAGTTAACTTGAAGAAACAATTTTACTTTTACTCATGATTACTGTATTAATTCTAAATCTTAGCTGAAACGAGTACATCTTGCGTCGTCTACATTTTTTAATAGCATTTAATCTATGGTCAAAAATAAAATACATTTAAGTAAGCATTTTGGCAAATTTCGAATCATCCGTAATGAGCTGCAATCAAATGGAGGATTATGCTGTTAGATCTAGTTCCCATTAGTGAAACCACAATATACAGAGGATCCTGACAATATAAGAGATGATTTGGTTTGGAATCTCCGTTATCCTCTATTATCCAAGTTATATAAGGTTAACATATCGTTTGACCTTGTTTTCGCAACTTGGTCATATTGGTAGCAAGAATTAGAAGAACGTATCTAGTCGAGAGTCCATTGTATGCATGATCGTTTCCAGAGTCGGAGCATGGACTTGGTACATTCGCAGACGTTTTGCCGGCATCGTCTGTGAGCATAGTCAGTCCTAGCACCACTCTGTAAATCGTCAAAGAGTGTGAAGTGAAGCCGATCCTTTGACCAATTGTCTGCTATCGTGGTATCTCTCCTTCGCCCATGAGCTAATCCCGAATCCTATATCCTCGTATCACTTCTTCACTATCACACTTTTTTACTTGCTTATTTAAATGTGGTATGGTCTGCCCTTTTGAGTGGCTTTCATAAGAACTCTCCATACTCCACGCTGACTGTCTCACCCCCCTCACCCCTCTCCAGCCTTGTGTTGGGATTGTTGATCCGACTCTGCCATATTTCTATTCCATCCTCATTCCCTAGGTCTTATCAGAGTCTCTCATGGTAAAGCCTTTGCTTCATGGATCACGTCTCTTGTAAAACATACTGTCAGCCAATTAGCTGCATTTTTCACTATGATAAGCTGTAACTCTGTGCCTACAATAGCGCCTCTCACTGACGATGCCGACTACGATGCCGGAGAAACGTTAGGGGATGTACCCAGCCAATGGTCAAATGCTGGAAATATGAATACTCTGCAAGAGGACACAGGATTAGGTACGGTCTACTGGCTATCCCTGACGCTCGAAACAAGTTGCGAAAACAAGGTGGAATCGACACGAAAGTTAATAATTTTAAAAATGAAACTTAATTGTAGATACGAAGAGAAAGATGGTTTCGATGAATCATTTGAGATAACATTGTTATAGGGACCTTCATTTTGTATGAAGCTGCATGAAGAAGAGATTAATTGGGCGATCTCACCAGATGAGGATGGATGAATCTCGTTGTACTGCAGCCGTTTGGATTTTATACAATATTCATGTT